ACACACGCACATCCCTTGTGAAGATTCTGTTTGATGTTAATTCCTGCTTTTATGATCCTTTTGGTGAGCAGGAAGTCACGCACACAGAGACACACGCACACACACAGTACCTTGTCTTTGTAACCAAGGGGGGGTGCTTTTGCTGTGATGTGTATTGTAACAGTTGTCAATAAAAAGGCGACGAGGACAGCTGCTCTTTGAAGGATTTGGGCTAGAGATAGGTGAGGAGTGTGAGCTCAGTGTGAGTCAGTCTTGTAGTTTAATTTGAAGATGAAGAGTTTGAAAGTCTGCATGATGACGCATCCACTCATATCTCAAATCTTAACTTCCCATTACATTAGCCCGACTACTTCAAATCATCTGATTGCCTTCTGAACAACTCAGCTGAACTCTCAAACTGTACAATTTGAAATCCTCTAAGTTACAACTCATCTCAAGCAATTAACTTAATTAATATGGTCTTTGATGCCACTGCTACTTACAAAATACCAAAAGATGTGGTCAAAGCTCAGGACGTGTTTGATGATCACGTGGGCGCCGACTGTTAGGCCGCAGAGCGTGCAGAGGTAATGCTTCTTCTCATCTGCTCCGACACAAACGCACTCGACGAGGTGCTGCATGCCTGTAAGATCACGATGACACAGATAGTTTAGAGGAGAGGGAACCAGTTTGTCAAACTCTGCCTCACTGGTATGTCAAGGATGAAAAAAGAGATTGTTAATCATGCTGTTGAAGTGCTCCAAAAAATGAGCATTCTTTTACTTGAGCAAATGAATGAATGCGTTTATTTGAAAACAAATATGGCTTTGTTATTTTGGCGGTTGTTACTGACCAAGAAGCGGATGCTTCCTGTTGCTGTCTTTCTGGTAAGCCAGGATCGTCATCTTCCCTGGCTTGAAAGCTAAGAGGGAAAATGATTAGATTCAAGTGATTAAACACTGACTGAAAGACAGTAATAAAGAGTAAACGTGAACAGATATATATTTGGTAAATAAAAGGTGCCACAACAAGATAAATGACAAAGCTTTGAGTCATAATATGAAAACAAACCACGTAATGTGGCTTAAACATGATATGTGCGATACCATGAAGAGTGTCAGACTAGCCACAAAACAGACTTTGTGGTGAAGATGATTTCTATTGAGAAAAACCACCTCTGAAAACAGCAGATGGCAGCAGTTGTGATTCTAATTAAGCAGATGTTAAAAGACTGAATTCACAACTTGATTGATCAGTGAGAAAAAAAAAAAAAGTGCACAAACCTTGAATCAGCTTGAGAAGCTTCTCATTTTCACCTAGAGTGAGCATCACTGCAAAGAAGATTCAGATCATTTTCAGCAGTGCAAAACTAAATAAAACTTCACACAAACACTACATGGATCGATCTTATACCTTCTGAGTAGGTGCTGCTTTTAAGCTTTTCCATAAGACGATCAGGTAAATGCAGCATCTGCAGAGAGAAAATGCAGAATATAACTGTAGAACTGAACAGTAGCTATAAAAAAAATAAAAACACTTTTGTGATCAGCCTGCATTTCTTATAGACAAACAAACCAATTTACCTATTTTTTTTTTTTTACTAGAAATCAAAAGGGTTATGTGCTGGATATACAGCAACTGACACTTTATTAGGCATATCTTGTTAGTATCAACTAGCCCCCTGCCACTGCAAATCTCTTGGACAAGTCTGTATAAACCCTAGAGGCGGTCATGTGGAAAAATCCCAGCAGATCAGCAGCTTTAAAACATCTGAACTAGCCAGTCTGGCACCAGCAACCACACCATATGTTCTGTCACTTAAATCATCTTTCCTCCTCATTCAGATGATCAGTTTGAACTTCAGCAGGTCATCTTAACCATGTCTACATGCATAAATGAACCGAGTTACTGCCATGTGATTGGCTGAAGAAATACTTGTGCTAACCAGCGGGTGAACGGCTGTACCTAACAAAGTGTCTCATGAGTGTAGCTCATGTGGAATTGAACAAATTATTTTACTGTTACAATATAATCTACAGCATTAACAATATAACAGCTAGCTTTAAGACGGCATTAAGATGTCTAAACATACAGGCACATATTAACCTTTATTTCAGGTGCAGTTACAACTATTTTTATACACACCCTGCAGTTTGTGCTTCTTAAAGAGTTGAAGCTCAGCCAGTTAATTGAAGGTCAGAAGCTTCGTCCAGACGATCTATTGTGTAAGTGACTTAGAGCTACGGAAGGATTGCCTACACGCTTACAAAACATACATGCCATGTTATTCATTATTATCTTTTATTCGTTTATATCCTTTTTATTAAGCTTTGAGTAGTGGCATTTGATTAAAGCATTTATTGACACACACACACACACACACACACACACACACACACTCACACACACACTCTCACACACACACACACACACACACACACACACACACACACACACAGACTATATGACGTGCGTCTGATGTTCCAGGAGATAAGCGAGAGCAAGAAGATCTACAGGAAGCACCTGACGTGGAGACGGAGAAATGTTCTTTTCAAATGTGTCAAAAGTCGTCAACAGAACATTTGTGGTTTTGAAACTTATGCATGTGTTGTATCTGCTTGACGCAAGAGGGGGCGTAATAATACCCCGATGCTATAAAACAACTGCTTCTGTATTGTTAGGAGGAGATCCATGCTGATTGTGTGACAGCGTTCATTAAAATCATTGTTTGACCCAACCCTCCTGGACCAGTGTTGTTTTGCATCCCTCCTCAATATCTGAAACCGTAACACTCATGATAAGTTTACTTCCACGCTTAAAATCGCCCATCTCCAATCTGGTATATGAATCCTCCTACATTACTTCCGCACGCACGCACACGCGCGCGCACACACACACACACACACACACACAAACACACACACACACACACCACACACACACACACACACATAAAGACGCTTCTTCTTTTACTCTGTTTTTGAGTTCAGGCTCTTTCATTTTCTTGCTGGGGATCCAGGAGAAACTCATTGCATTGGGATCCATGCAATTCTTATCAAAAAGCAAAAAGTTTGAATTAATCTTACAAATTAAACACTAAATATTCCTGCTTTATATTTTATGTTGTTCAGTACTCACAATGTAGTTGCTGTAATGGTCCATAGAAAAGAAGTGCCTTAAGACATCACTAGGTAAACTCTTCTCACCACAGATGTGACACAAGTAAAAAGAGGTCCGCGCCTCTGGACTGAAACACAGACTCAGCGCAGACAAGCCTGAAAGAAAGTCAATTTGAAACAGGACGATTACTTCAAACATCAAACAAGCTCTTTTGTTTTAAACAGGCTGATGTAATACAATTTCACATTCATCTACATCTAGGTGATAAATCCTATGTTTGTCCAGTAGTATAAAACTTAAGATTTAGGTTCCTGAACTCGCTTAAATGCTGCTACAGTAATGCGAAAGGCAAACAAGTGTAAAAATCAATGACGATTTACTTTTAATACCCATATAGGGGCTAAAAAGACAGTAACAGATTACATTAATCTATATTGTGCTGCACATATAAGCACTCAAGTGTGTCTTGGTCATCAGCTGATTCTGCCAAGATGTCTCCCAACTAAAATCCTTCCCAGAGAACACTACTATATCTCTCGCATGAATTAAAATACATTAATAAAAGGTTCCTCCAGTTCTTATGAAAACTCAACACTCACACATATTTGCATGAACTTTCATATAAAAATCTCTCTAAAATGGCGAACAAAACCCACCCACAAATCAAACCTTGTAGAGCAGTGATAGGTTTGTAGCTTAAACCTATTCGCTGGAACGTTCAAGACAATTCAACTACACAGCAAAAGCATTGAACACCAAGTAGGCAAAGTTCTTTGTGTTACTCATATATGAGGGAGAGAACCACGACAAGCGCCGTTCCTTCGCTTGACCCCAGTCGCTCTCGTCCGCTCCCCCGTAACACTGCTCTTTTATTGAGGTTACATGAATATACATAGGTTCATTAACATATGACGTCTACATACAAACAAAGAGTACCTTGCCTGTGCGTTGTGTAAGTGTGTGTGTGTGTGTGTGGTGTGTCCATAAATGACTTCCCTAAACCTGCTGGTCTGGAAGTCCAGCAGTTCATCTAAACAAAAGGCACTTAGACTAAAACAGACATAGATATGTTTATCCTACCATAAAACAATAAGAGAAGGTACGACCTCTCCCATGCTCCCAGGATGTGGGTGTGAATGCCAGAACACTCTGGAATGCACACAAAGTCTTTGCAGACTATTAAGGATCAAACCTCTACCAACATGACATTGATTATACAACTCTAAGCATATATGAGTAGATATTTCTAAGCATAAATGACAATCAAACATTACAAATCTAACCCACAAGGGATGTTTGAGGCAATTCTTTTTTTCTGGATCCACAAAAATGATATGAGGTACACCTTTGGCTTTAAAAAGCAAAAAGACATGTCAAAGTGAAAGAACGGACTACCTTAAGCTTCCAATAAATAGGGGAGCCTTCTACACACTGCTTTTTAGAACTTATTTAAAGAAAAAAAAATGACAAACTTCAGACAACCACATCATCAGGACCATAGTAAGCCTTTAGTTGCTAGTTCCAGTGCAAAAACTCTACACATTGCACAGCAATAAATACAAAATAAAAACACTTAACACCAAGAAGGAAGAAAAAAAAACTTACCAACATTCTGAAACGTATCTGAAAAGAGGTAAACATTAAAATGAAAAACAGAAAAGATGAAAATGTATAATAGATCAGAGTTCACATGAACACTAATGTCAGGTAAAAACTGAGCATTACCATTTGGGAAAAGCTCTTTCAGTTTCTGTGGGTAAAGAACAGGAAACATGCAGAGATGGTTTATTATTACTTAGGTAAATGTGGGGACTGTCTTATTACACTGTACCACATTTAACTAATCTTCTCACTCAAATTGATTCTCCTTCTCCTCCTGTGAAACAGTAGATAAGTTGAACAGCACTGATAACTGGTCATTTAGCTTTGGCTGGTTAGCATCAGAGAGATACTCCCATACAGCTTATGACAAAATTTAATCCGAAGTGATTGATGGCCCTAATCATGACCTTTTGACCTCCCCCCTCCCCCCCGGAAGCGAGTAATGACCGTGACGAATTGCATCCGGAGAAGGGGGGGCGGGAAACCCCCCGACATCCGGAGAAGGGGGGGCGAACCCCGGAAGCGCGCCATCTGTCGCTAAGCGTGTCGAATTGCATCCTGAGAAGGGAGGGGGGAAACCTCCGGAAGCGCGCCACCTGTTGTTGGGAAAAAAAGAAAAAAGTTTTTAGAGGGAGGAGAATAAAAGCAGAGAGGAGGAGGTCACAATTTCTAAGGCACAGACACAAGATGGATTTCCTTCTGCAGCCCAGCAGCGCTCCTGTGTACTTGGACGGCGAAGAAATCTGCTCTCCCGAAGAAGGCTTTGAATATGACATATTCAAATACAGCATATTTACTATGGAAGGCCTCGATCCGGAGCTTATGACCCTACCGGAAATACTCCGGAAGTGTCTAGTCATTTTCAGACCTGATGCGTCATGTTCCCTAAGCATGAGGGGAGGGGTATGGTTGCTGGGGGGAGATCAGAGAGGGTTCCTGAAGCACAGCGGTGATGCAGCAGTTGACTCTGTGCTGTATAGAGAGACAGAGCGGCAGTTAGTTTTCCGCAAACTCATAGTTTGAATTCTGTTTCAATATTATGACAATTTTCTCTGTATTTATTTATTTATTTTTTAACAATAGCGGATGTAATTTTACTTTCTTAAGATGCACCGGCGCTTGTAATGGGAATAAAGAGTGACTTCCTGTAGAGAACCGTTTCTTTCAATAGTATTTTATTTTCCTATAATACAGACGCAGTAAAAAAACCTTTAAGATGATCTGCCTAGCAACAAATTGCATTTTTAGGCTACACCATAGCTTGTGATGAAAAGAAGAACTTTCTATCCGCTTGTAACCTACAGGCTGCCTATGTGTAAAAATGAATAAATATCCCTTAGTGAATACTACTTTTCCTTTTGAGAGACTGAAAAACAAACCATAATTGCCGTGACAGTCGATCTTGTTTCACACACACACAGACACACACACCGCGGGTCAAGGAGGAGTGAGACGGCGGAAGAGTTTTTTTCTTCATTACTTTTACAATGGGTTTTCTCAATAGATAGAAAATGATGAGGAGTCAACAGCCGATATTATCATTGCTTGTAACCCGGTAAATAATTTCGTACATCTCCCAATAAAATAAGTCTTAGTGGAAAAAAGCTCATTTTCAAATAAGTTTATTCCCCTCTGTGGGAAAGAGTTTTTTTCTCAGAGTCAAGAAACCATGAGGTGAGTTTTGTCAACAGGAGACGGGTTTTGTCACTACCAAGAACAACTGTTGCCCATAAGGTAAAACAAATATCCGCCTCTAAGTCGTATTTTACAGTTGCAGAATGTGGAAAACAGACAGCGTTCACAAGAAGGCATTCAAAAAAAAGGAAATTGGATACCCCAACTCTCCCGACTGCCACACACACACACACACACACACACACACACACACACCAGCGTGTCTGTCTGTGTGTGTGTGTGTCTGTGTGTGTGTGTGTGTGTGTCTGTTTGTGTGTGTGTGTGTGTGTGTGTGTGTGTCTGTGTGTGTGTCTGTGCGTGTGTCGTGTGTGTAACAAGATCGCCTGTCACGGCAATTATGGTTTGTTTTTCAGTCTCTCAAAAGGAAAAGTAGTATTCACTAAGGGATATTTATTCATTTTTACACATAGGCAGCCTGTAGGTTACAAGCGGATAGAAAGTTCTTCTTTTCATCACAAGCTATGGTGTAGCCTAAAAATGCAATTTGTTGCTAGGCAGATCATCTTAAAGGTTTTTTTACTGCGTCTGTATTATAGGAAAATAAAATACTATTGAAAGAAACGGTTCTCTACAGGAAGTCACTCTTTATTCCCATTACAAGCGCCGGTGCATCTTAAGAAAGTAAAATTACATCCGCTATTGTTAAAAAATAAATAAATAAATACAGAGAAAATTGTCATAATATTGAAACAGAATTCAAACTATGAGTTTGCGGAAAACTAACTGCCGCTCTGTCTCTCTATACAGCACAGAGTCAACTGCTGCATCACCGCTGTGCTTCAGGAACCCTCTCTGATCTCCCCCCAGCAACCATACCCCTCCCCTCATGCTTAGGGAACATGACGCATCAGGTCTGAAAATGACTAGACACTTCCGGAGTATTTCCGGTAGGGTCATAAGCTCCGGATCGAGGCCTTCCATAGTAAATATGCTGTATTTGAATATGTCATATTCAAAGCCTTCTTCGGGAGAGCAGATTTCTTCGCCGTCCAAGTACACAGGAGCGCTGCTGGGCTGCAGAAGGAAATCCATCTTGCGTCTGTGTCTTAGAAATTGTGACCTCCTCTCTGCTTTTATTCTCCTCCCTCTAAAAACTTTTTTCTTTTTTTTCCCAACAACAGGTGGCGCGCTTCCGGAGGTTTCCCCCCTCCCTTCTCAGGATGCAATTCGACACGCTTAGCGACAGATGGCGCGCTTCCGGGGTTCGCCCCCCCTTCTCCGGATGCCGGGGGTTTCCCGCCCCCCCTTCTCCGGATGCAATTCGTCACGCTTAGGGGATCAAATTACACACTTCCGGGGGGGAGGGGGGAGGTCAAAAGGTCATGATTAGGGCCATCAATCACTTCGGATCAAATTTTGTCATAAGCTGTAGGGAGTATCTCTCTAGCACCTTTCTATACTGGTTTGGTGTGTTTACATGCAACTTTGGGTAAAAGCAAAAAACAAAACACCCCCCCAAAAAAGGGAAAACACCCTGAGACAATAGCCAATGCAAGGTTACCTTGTAGATAAAGCTGTTTTTATGTTCATTACTGAAGAAAGAATGTCATGCCCAAACATAATAAATAGATTAAAAAAAAAAAGTATATTAAATCTAATGCCCACCTGGAGATGTACATCTGAAAACATGTGCTTCTTGTAATCAAACAGCCTTCTAAATTTGTAGAGGCAGAGCTGTGGAAAAAACAAAACAAAAGATGCATTAGTCAAAGGTTTTTGCTACACAGCTGAGAGTTTGGCAGATGTTATGGAAATCTAGTGCTTTACACTGTTGCCAGGCAGAAATCCAGTCATTTTAAACAAGTATTCTCTTCTCCAGAGACAGGAAGCAAGATACTGCCTTAATTGTGAAGATCCTGCAAGCCAGAACTTCCTCTACATGTAGGGGTCGAGGGATTAACACAGATACGGGACAAAGAAAGCTGCATCTTAGTATATAACAAAATTATCTTCTACACAGGTTATTTAGGATTTAACAAACATAAGGCCCATGACCAAAGCCATATCAGCACACATTCAAAGTTCTCTCTTTTCCCCCAATGTGCAATCTAAGTTCGGTATAATGATTTAAAACAATATTGCCACTTAAAATTGTAGCCATGCCACTGTGGAGCAATGTGTGCTACCCTTATAGCCTGAACCATGCAGGCAATGTAAAATGAAAAAAGGATCCTTGGAAACTGCTATGTAGACTCCCTAAACAACATCCATTTAGATGTGTATTTAAATGCCATGATACATTCTAGATCAACAGGTTTTTCACTTTTTACAGAGGTAGTGTCGAGGTGACACCAGTGTCAGAGTTTCACCTCTGATACTGCTGGATAAACAGAAATCCACTCAGGAACGAGATCACACAGAGCTCAACTTTCCACTCGCGAGAGGGAAGTAGTTGCCTCCAACCCACTTAAACTTCCTTCCCTCTGTAGGCTGCTTTTATTGTTTACACTCATGAACATTTATAACACTTGCTGCTATGTTAGGCAGATTACAGAAACCAAACATAACTTTACATTGGAGACTTTATTTTATTTTCGCTGGAAGAGAGATTTGATTTTGAAGTTACTTTTTGTTTAATTTTGTATTTGTTGTTTGGTCAAGTTTGTAAGACAGAAACACTGGAATGGTCACTGAAGCCAGTTTCTCTTCGTTTCCCTCACCACCATTGTGGTTTTTTATTAAAATAAAATGTTTTTGTTTTTTTGTGGCCATAGGCTCCTGCCTTTCTTTCTGTTATGAGTTTGAGTAAATGAATCGCTGCTGCATTTGTGCGCCCTCTGAGGAGGGTGCGTTTGCTCACAGCTGAAGGAGGGTGCCGTTAAAACAGTGCTATTATTAATTTGTGATGGTTGCTTCGGTTAGCTTCAAACAACATTATTAGCAAACTTACTCATGGGCAAATATAAAAAGAATAAATAAATCGCCCTTGTAAAAATGATCGACGATAGATAGGGTTCGGCAATTGGATGATCATATTGACCATCTTGCTTCTTCTACTTCTGTACTATTGATTCATTAAACCATCAGGAACCCTCACATAAACATTTATCGTGTGGGAAAAAAGTTAGCATTCATCCTCCAGCTTCACTGCGTTTATGTTATGCTAACATAGCTGTGTCGCTAGCGATAACATAGCACATCATTATATACTAGTTATCCCAACTTCAGTAACCCCACAAACGTCACTGCTGTTTGTTTCCCGTCTTCATTTATGTTGGGAGAGACAGCAGAGCTGTACGTTTTAATTTATACTGAAATCCCTTACTCAGAACATGGTATGTCATGTTTAGTAGAAACTAGCGAGCTAACTTCCTGCTAACTTCTAACTCCGTAAAAATTAATAAATTCTGTTTTCATGGATGCCTGGATGTTAAACTTAATTGTTACACCTGGTAAAGTAGCAACACTGATCATTTTATTAAAGACGAAGGCATTTAGACATTTTTTAACGCTCAGCGATGCCACAGTGTTCGTTTGACTTTAGGACCTGAAGCCGAGTTTGGACCCCGGTTACTTCGCGGCTCCTGACTACGGAAGCTGTAATGCTTTGACAATCCATCAAGCAGTGCGGCTTCGTAGCTTACCAAAGCCGTACTAAAATATCTGACAGATTTTTGAGCGCCGTGTACCACATAAAATCGGTTTGAGGTCACTAAGCATGACCAGAACCATAAGGCGCACTGTCATTTTTCCACAAGTCTCCAGCAGATCTGAAAGGCACTTCCTCAGTCTGTTACATTTATACTTTTTTTTGGTTTCTCATTCAGCGCCTACTTTTCCTGTTATTCAGGACAGTTTCGATCAAAACATCTCGTTCCTCATTTAACATTCTTATCTTTTCCTTTTACAGTCTTACACATCGATTCACCTCTCCTTTTATGGTTCTGCCCATCATCTCTGTCTCCCTTTCTTTGCGCACATCCTCATTCTCTATGAGTGTGGGTGGTTATATGTGGGGTCTTTAAGCGTGTCAAGCTCCTTACGCAGTTCTGCTTTTGCCTATACTTATCACGATGTGTCAGACAGCAGTTAATGCTGCCTTTCTGCACCCTTTCCTGTTATGCTGCTTCTATTCTATAACCATTTTCTGCTGTACTAACACAGGGGCATGCTAGCAATATGATACCATCTACAGTTCCACAATGTAAGGTTCTTTTCATTTGGAAGGAAAAATAAGCGCAGACAGAGTCCTAGGAGGTGTCAAAAAAGTGATTTATTAAACACACACACTCTGTACAGTGTGGGAAGCCAGTCTTCGTCTCTCTGCCCGTTACAGAAAGCTTTATAGCCATTATGATGTCAGGACAATTCCTGGAACTCTTCTCAGAACAACAACCCTTTCCGAGGCTTGAAACCAGATGTTTTCCATCATCAGTATCTGGGAACATAACCAATTGTGTAGACGAGTGTGCAGTTTTGTGAGATTGTAGGTCCAGGCCAACGAAAGTTCGGTGTCCTTATCCGACTGCGGACTGCCTGGACCTACAGCCATGCTGGTGCTTTCTAGAATGTGTTTTATTCTCCGTGTTAATACAAGAGTATTCAGTAACCACACCGTTAGCAGATTTACTAAATGATAAATGATACATGATAATATCGATGATAAACTGATGATAAGTGATGCAGACTAATGAAGTAATGATGAAATAATGACAGTACACGTGAATGATAACAGTGACAGTAAAATAACATTCCTTATCCTGACAACAATCACCTAATTCAATCTTAACAAAGGGGCTGTTTTAGACCAGCCTGATAATAAATACAACAACCCAGTCCTATACATTTGTTTAAGATTCACATTGAAGAACATATTGTGATAAAAAATGATCAAGAATTCTGATCAAGAGGCCAATGTCATGCCATCTAAAGTAACTGGTTACATAGCACATTTCTAGTATTTTCAGAGCCATGTACAAGTCTCAACTTCAGAGGAAAAACATTTCTTCCTTAAGATATACCTGTACATTAATGACTTTGTGCCATCAGGATTCAGAAAAATATAATTGGTTGTCATCTGAATATGATACAATTGCATATTGTCTGCAATTAAAAAGTATGCAGCGCTTTCTAATAATGTTATCAAATACATCCAACAACTCCTTGACAACGATATAAAAATCACAAAAATGTAATATTTTCTGTAAAATTCTGTGAATCTCGGGCAACTCTACTTGCGTGAAGTTTTTCCAGCTGGGCGTCCTTTACCTGGAGTCGAGTGTTTTAACTGATGGATTAAAGTATACCTTTGTAGACACAAGTTGTAACGGCCACCATTTTCTTTCAAAGTTTGAGTCTAAGGTTTATTTTTTAGCACCTGACGGCTGTTTTTTGCTAAATATAAGAGAAAGAGAGAACTTTAACAAATTAATATAGCCACTACAGTGACCATCAAAATGATGAAATTTTTTTTTTCCCCTGTAAACAGTTTATTTTACGACACCACGAAACAAATGATAGCGTAATAGGAAACGATAGACGTTTTTATATCGTCATCCTAGAGCTGGGCGATATAAGATTTTTTCAGATCACGATATGTTTTTTTCATTTCAGTCGATAACGATATATAT